TCCGGTCTTCCATGATGATCTCTCCCATGTTGCACTGTCCCCAATCACCCACATTCCTAGGCCACCCACAGACAAGCTCACAGTGCTTGCACATTCCCGTCCCAAAAGACGGGACAAGATAAAAACTGCTGAGACACCCTGATTGAAGAAAAGGCAGAAGGGAAGCGGCAGAAGAGAACTAAGAATCTGATAGAAGGGAAGCGGCAGAAGAGAACTAAGAATCTGGCAGAAGGGAAGCGGCAGAAGAGAACTAAGAACCCCTGCAACCCCAGCGACTCAGGAAGTTGAAACGGGAGGATCTCAAGTTCGAGCCCAGGTTGGGCAACTTAGTGAGATCCCACCTTAAAATAAGAACTCAAAAGGGCTGGGGATGCAGTGCAGTGGTAGGGAGCTCCTAGGTTCCATCAGGAGTACCCCAATACCAGAAAAAGCTTGTATCCTTGGGAACAGTAGCATATATAAAAAACATCCCCACATGCTCACTAGACACGCACACACACACACACACACACACACACGGAAAGACTTAAAAACTGATGCTTCAATTAGATATTTAAAGCAAATTTTTATAATAACGAAGAGAAAACACTGAGGTGAAACTAAAACTACCTTCCAAATGAAAGACAGGTGGGTGGGGCTGGAGGGACAGAGAGATGGCTCTCTGCTTCTAGTTTGCTCTGCTTCCCAGTGCTAACAAAAGGGTACTTGGGTTTGCCAGCACTGTTTTAAGTTACAGAATTGTGGGAGTGTACAAACCCGGCAAAAACAGAAGTAAACAAACAATCCATGAATGGTGCGCTCTGACGGATGACAGTAGGTACTGTGAGAAAGGGGAAAGGCAGGTAGGAAGTGAAAAGGTAAGAGAAACCCTTGTTTGTTTGTTTTATATTTTGAAACAGGGTCTTTCTGTGAAGCCCAGGCTGGCCTCAAGCGGGTGGTGCTCCTCGGGCCTCCACCTCCTGCACTGGGAACAGAGGTGAGGGAGCAGGGAACAGGGAACCAGGCTGAGGGACGGCTATTTTAAACAGGGCTGTCAGGGAAGACCTCACCGAAGGGCTGAGCTGTGAGCAAAGCCCCAAGCAATTCACACATTACAAATCATCTCAGCCTGCTTCCTGTGGCTGTAGCAAAATGCCACAGACTGGCTAACTTGTAAACAGCAGAAAGTTCTTTGGCTCGCAGCGCTGGAGGCTTTGGCGTCTGGCGAGGGCCTTTGCACTATGTCACAACACGGCAGAAGGGCAGATGCGCACCTGAAAAAGAGAAAACGGGGTGGCGTCATCTTTTCCTCAAGACGCTGCTGCTGCACGGAGCCTCCTACACAGTAACTGCTGGATCTAGGCATGAGAGCGGAGCCCGGGAGCACCGATCAGCGCCCAAGGGTCCCTCGTCCTGGTATCACAATCACAATGGAGGGGGCACTGAAGCCCCGGCTTTGTTTCTGGTGTATAGAATGATCCACGCACGCCCAGCGGAATCGCAGAATTGGAGAAAGGCACGTCTGCGGCTCTGCGCCCCTCTGACCCGTTCTGCCCCTTCCCTTCCTGCCCCGCGGCTCTGTGCCAGATGTGCCCGCACCCTGCCTGCGGCCAGAAACAAAACCAGGCCCCAGGGAAGATATTTTAAAAACAAAAACTAAGGGTAGCTTCAGCAAATGCTTAGCAATCAACTCTCTCAGGGAACGGCTGAAATGGGGTGTTTTCAGGTCTCTCTAAATCAAGCTACGCAACCACCCAACAACGGCCTTCACTCGATCAAAAGTTTTCTTTTAACCTGAGTATATGCAAAAACCCAACCTTTAGCCCTTAATAAAAATACTAACGCAACAGCAAATACAACAGGAAGGTTAACAGCCAAATTGTAAAGAAGACGGTATTACACACTGTTAATACAAAATCCAGAAACCTACCCCATCCCCCCACCCGCCCCTCAGCTGTGTTTGTTTACCTCGGATTTTGCTGGGACTCAGAAGCTGCGGCTGGTTCCGTGGCAAACATGGTAACACCTATAGGCACTGCCAAAAGAAAGGCCTGGGCGACTTTCCTTGGTCTTCTCTCCCCTCTCCCACCTCCACACCAGGGCAGAACACTGAAGCATCTGAGAGAAAAGCCCATGGAGATCAAGGCAGGCATTATATTTCAAGGCGAAGTTCAAAACAACTTGCTCTTTGCTGGGCCTTCTCACTTCCTGAAATCAGACAGCGCTGAATCACAAGCCGCCACACACTCGCTCTTTCATTTGAGGCCACCAGGCCGCCAACCACCTTCTCCCTGGCGAAGTGAGCCCAAGGAACAGGTCCGGGGCACCCTCGGGAGAGATCCCGGAAGCATCAAGAGGCAGAGCCAAAAGGGCGCTCTTTCGCTTCGCTTCATTCCCTAGCTTTATTTCCTCCTTGAGGAAATTTAACCCAGAAAAATTTTTTTAAAAAAACATAAAACCTCTGTGCATAATCTTCCCATGGTATTACCTACAGCTGCCTAATTACTAGACTGTTTGTCTGATTTAGGCTTCTGTTTACCCACTCAGCATATGCAAAGGACCTGCCTTGCAAAGAACCAGAGAAGTCTACACCTTCAGGGAGCCATTCAGGCTAGACCCCTACAAACTACTTCCCATGCGCTTCCTGGCAGACAGATTTTGTTGAATTAGTTGACAATCAATAGAAGTTCAATAATTTCACATAAAAATCCAATGACCTTAATACTTGGAAGATCTAGCAACACTGGACAAAAAACCCCGTGTGCGGACAATGTGCATGGACACTGCGCAGACCCACAGACAGGACAGGTGCTGGGAACGCCCGCTTCTGGGATTACCACTCACCCGGCACGACACCACGATTCCGCCCTGTCCCTGAGCTGGCACCTGGGACCCCCACCCAGCCCAACAGGTTCTTTTGGCAGAGGGGGAGAGCAGGGTCCAGAGTTTGAACCCAGGTCACCCAATTAGATAAAGCAGAGCTGGAGCCGGATTCCGGCCCCTTCCCGAGATGCCCCAGTCCCTGGAGATCCCGTAGTGAAAGAAACTGGGCCACATTTGAAGCAGTGTCTCAGATGATGTTGGCTCTGAAGTTATTTTAATTATAAATCATCATTGGAAAGTAATGACGGCATCAAAGCTGTGACACTGGGGTAGACCAGAAGGGCTGGGGAAAGTATAACTAGCGGCAGAATATTTCCTCAGGGATTTTAAATGTAAGTAATCTATATTTAAAATATCACGATTTTAGTGAGTAACAGACTGGGGCAATGAAAAGCTAAATAAAAATTACATCCTAATTTAGCTAGACGACTGAATGAGAAATCCCATTTCTTGGATTTTTCTATTAGAGGTATTTAATGCAAGACTTTGCTCCGTATCTTTCATTTTGTTAATTCATTTTAATACAGTTTGAAAATAATCAGGCAGTTTTAAGGCCTTTTAAGAACCTTTATTTCCAAGGAAACTATTTTTGTCAGAAGGTAAATTTATAGTTCACCTAAAAAAATATTTTTTACACAGGTAGGTGTATTATAAACACATACAATGCTAAAATATGCTGTACTGATGACCCTGAGGTTAATGTTTTTATGACTACCAATTTACAACAGAAATGGCAACGTCCTCACATCAACTTTCTACATATCACTGGCTCGTGGCTATAACTCCATCCTGCTTCCCAGGATGCCACAACTCCACCTGCACCAAGAATCTCTGCCGACTTGAATGGTTTGAAAAGAAGCCAGACTATTCAGCTGGCAAAGCATGTAATCTGGAAAGTTACATACTTCACATAAGTACCACCCCAGCCCAAATCATGGCACGGCCACATTCACGGGATGAGCGGGCCACGCGACACGCTCTGCAGTTCCACAGCTCTTTGGACAGAGCCAGCAAACGACATCAGCAGCCGTCTCAACGAGGTAAGGGCGCAAGTCTGAAGACCAGCGCGCGAGGACGCTCAGTAACGCTGCAGCGCCGCTGCACCGGAGGGTGCAGGCTAAACCGACACCGGCAGGAGTTACCGCACACTTTCCATCCCAGCCCCGGGACAGGGCGAGTGTCTGAGGCACAGGCAGGGCAGAGAACACAGCTGTGTGTCACAAGAGGGAGCAGTGTCCGAGCGACACCACACACGCCTGAGTGGCATCTCGGACCTGAAACCCACCTGCCGGCCTCCAGGCCCTCAGGACCTGGACGTCAGTCCTCGTCGAAGCGCCAAGTCCAAACTTCTTGCCATCTTGCCTCTGTTTTCTCGTGGGATGTGAGAGGGGACTCAGAAAAAGAAGGCTCCATTTTCCATCTGCCAGGGCTTTCTCTCCTTCCCATCACCCTCAGGGTCAAGGAGCTTCCCCAGAGCTCCTTCACTGGCAGGAGGACTACGTAAAGGGGCTGAAGGCACTCCGCTCCCCTGGGGCCCAGGTGACTGCCTCTGTCCTGGCAGGGTTCTGTCCTAACCTAAAGCCCGTGTCCCTTCCTGACGCTGTTCAGGACCCCAGTGCAACCAAAGGGTTGAGCAAACTCCTCGGAAACAAGAGGACAGAAGACTCCGGGAGCTGTGCGGGTGCGGCCTGCAGCCGCCGCCGCCCATCGCGCCAGATTCCCCAGCAAGACTGCGGGGCTCGGACTCCGCAACGTGTTTGGTCGCTAAGGTACATTTTCTACCTCAGGACATAACTAACACACAGCTCGCAGCAGCTATTTGCGAAGTGAACACAGGTTTCAAAGATTTTGGACTTCTTTCCCTCCCGCAGTTCCCAGTCTGATTTAAGCTCTCCTAGTCCACGGGCGGCCGGTTCAGACCCAGACTGGCTGACGGGACAGCGAAGGGCTACGTGCTTTTGTAGGAGGCTCCGCTGTAATGAAGTCACCTTATTCAAAAAGCACAAATCCGTTCAGACTTCCGAGATTAAAGAAACCGGTAAGTGTATAAAAACTGATCACTGTGCAGAATGCAAGTGAAAGGAAACCTCTCTCTTCTCAGTCAACAGAGGCAAAGGCCAAGGCATGTGAGACACGTATAGCAGAATACTTCGTTCTTTTTTATTTAGTCACAACACAGGAGTACAACAGAGGTCAAACCCAGCTCAGCGGAGGTCACTGAAACTACACCTGCCGAAGGAATAAACCCGTAGAATGGTATTTTTATAGCCTGAACCAAGGTAAAGAAAGCAAGGAGAAGCAGGCAGCAAAGCCCTTTTAAATGTCTCAGCAACCACATTTCCATGCACCAAAAGGAAAACACAACATACAAACCTCCAGTTAAAAAGAAAGGCTGGCATGTGCAGGAAAATCGGGCTCTGCGTTTAACAGGTTCCACTGCGCTACCCAACTGACCTCTTGCAGACCATGACCACTTCCCGGGCTAACACTCGTGAATTTGAGTGCGGGATTAAAAAGTCATTGCACTGCGTGGGACTAATAAATGCAGGCATATTCCACGCAGTCGTCTTCATTCCCGCCCCCAGTTCTCTAACTGGGGACCTGCTCTGCCAGAGCACAGCTCCTAAGCCCCAACTTCCAGAGCAGCGAGTGCCGCGGAGGACAGGCGCTGGGCAAATGGACGCAGGGCCACTGGTAGTTCGGACATCCACCTTTTTTGTTGTGGGAGGCAGAGAATGAATGACCCCTCTTTCTTGGATAAAGCTGATCATCTGATTTGTCAACGCTTTGTTTGGAAATATAAAATTCAGTATAGCTCCCCCCCAGAACATTACTTATACAACACTTTAATCTGTCAAAATATTAACAAACAGAATCATGTTCCATTGAGCACAGTGGTTTGGAAAATCAATTAAAAACAGACCACAGCTACACAAGGAGAAAAGCAGACCAGGCACACGAACGGTTAGGATTCCCAAGACGCTGCGGCACGAGGAATCACTCCTGGAGGTTTACAGAGTAGAGCAGGCCCAGCACACACCTGTCCGAAGCGTTGCTTTATACTATTTCCATTTCACGTTTTAAACAAAAATCAGCAACTAGTTCTTGAAAACTGCTAATACCCGACACGATAAAAAAAAAAAGAAGAAGAAAAAAGTAAACCAACAAACCTTTAGTCTTTTAAAAAAAAAAACTACCTGAAAGTGTACCTTTGTCCTTTTCATTCCTACCGACGACGTCAAGGTAGTGTTGGCGACACAGCCCCGCGCGCCCCCAGCCCGGGCCCCGCGCTTTAGAAGGCTCCGATCTCCGTGCCCCACGGTCTGTAGGGCTTGCCCAGGCCCGCCGCCTGCGCGGGCGCCGACGGGCTCAGCGCACCGGGGGCGAGCAGGTGGAAGGAGCCGAAGGAGAAGGGGAAGGCGGACAGCGAGGCCACGGAGGACAGCAGCGGCGGCGAGAGCTTGGAGGCGGAAGCGGCCACGGGCAGCGCGGGTCCGAGGCCGCCGCTGGGGGGC